TTGTCAGGAAGAGTTAAAATAATAACTAATTATAATATAACATTCACTGATAGAACACTGACCACTGAGAAGATGGACATCAGATCTCCTTTGATATTTACATTGTTCATTAAATAATCATTAAAATATTAATACTATAATACTTTATAGTAATTATAATGTTGCGTATAAATTCCTTAAAACTAAAATTTACAAAATAATTATGGGTTCACGACACCATCACCCTTAAAGAGAAATAATATCTAAAATATTATTTCAAAAATTTTAATACATAACACATTTATGTCACAGTAGGATATACCTCAAACTGATATAAGTTAATAAAAAACAATAATACATAGTATAAATAATTAATAGTGTTTTCATATATATAAACATGTAACATAAATACATAAAATAACTTATTTTGAAATCATGTATTATAAATTCTAAACATTCAGAAATTATGAAAAATATAAAATTTGTTAAAATAAGATATCTGATACTTTGCTTTTATTTTAATTTTTACTTAAAATTATGTTTCTAATCTAATTAATTTATCAAGCCAGTAATACGATACTCAAACATGATTTTGTATGTTTATACATTTTTTTTTAAATAATAAGCACTATTTTTGTATCTAGCTTTTCTGAAAGGTGTAATTTTATTTTATTCATAAATATAACTTTATAATTTTTACGAATATATTTATTATGTATCATTTTTTCCACTTAACACATCATATAATTAAGATAGCAAAATGACTTAAATAAGTATTAACTTATTAGTTCATTTTTTTTTATAGGTATTAAGTAAATTCTATACTAGTGCCTTTTTAAAAAATATCGTTAATAAATATTCATGACATGTTAAAAATAATTTAGATCATTTAATCTTTTATATAACTCTTATTTTGAACAATTAATTTATAATTTTTATGAAAATAACAAAAAAAGAGTATAAAACAAATTAAACATATATTTATTAACAGAAAAAACATAAAATATACATTCCTTTATAAAATTTAGAATTCTAGGCGAGTTCCATGGACTATTTGACTTTCAATGCTACCTTGCTTTAAAAGATTTTTTAATTGTTTATCAACTTCCTCGTTATGACACATAGGGTATCTGTATTGTTTTATATTAATTGGATGAGCATTAGGAGTAATTATTTTATGTACAATTTGATTAGTACAAGATAATTTATCACTCGGTAATATTAATATATCATTAAAGTGATTGCATAAATTATTAATAGACGACTTTTTTTTACCGTTTAAATTATTTAATTTAAGGTTTTTATTTAAAAGAGTTAATCTATTATTATTATTATTAGTATTAACATTATTACAATTGATAATATTTACATATTATTTATGAGCATGAAATCTTGTGGTAAAAAATCAAATTTAATATTATTTATAGAAATCGAAACATCTTTTTCTGATGTGTTTAAAATCGGTATGATTGCATAATTATCTTTGATTTATGTAATACAACTTCCAATAAAAACATTTTCTTAATTACTATAAGATCATATATATAGCTAGAGATATAATTCCAGTTGTATAATAAGTATTGGTTATTTTTACTTTAATGATAGATTCTGGCAAGCCTAATTTTATGAATTCATGTGACCCTACAAATTTAACACGATTAAAAATAAAATAACACTTATTGAGAGATCGTAAAACAATTGTAATATAGACCATGTAAAAGAGTACGATTTAATAATACGATATCTCGGCGCCAGGATTAGATTTGGAATTGCATTAAAAACAGGATGTATTAGCTATGTTTACATCTTATTGTAACGCGAATTATCATGCCTATTTTGTATTTTTGTGTTGTTTTTAAAACCTATCAATGCAAAAATATCCAACTAGATAAAAAATCTTCCCTATTTCATAATCACTGTTCATATTTTCACTAGAGTACTGAAGACTAAGGTCCCTTTTGCGTGGTTTTACCATTTAATATATTTATTTGTATTATTATCTGTATAATTATAATTATAACAATGAGTACACAACGTGGAAATAAGTGTGTTTTTTTTAATTGCGGTAAAAACATATCTTAACTTCTCATTTTATCATTTTTAGTGATCTGAACCTCGGTTAAAATTGCTTTATTTGTTTGAATATATTTTTCTAAAATATTTGTTTTTAAAATTTATATATTTTAAATTATATTTTATATTTTAATTTATATATTTTTAAAATTTGTTTTTTTTTTAATATTTCATTGTATATTTGAAAAAATAAATTACTAATTTTATACATGAAAACCTTATATGTGTAATTATTAATAAATATCTTTATTAGACTTGATTACTGGTAAGTTAAGAAATTTAACACCAAATAATATAAAAATCTTGACAGTGGACAAATCGGTAGCGAGAAATTGTTATGTAATAAGTTAAGATTTTCAACACTAAGAGAAAATTAAAAAAAATAAATAATAGTCAAATTTAAATTAATATTAATAAAATAAAAAATATAGTTTAAAAAAACTAAAAAAACGCGCTTTTAAATCACATCGAACTAAAAAGTTAAAAATAATTTTTAAAATAAGCTTAAAACAAAAATGAACGACAAATATTAGTATTATTGTGATAAAAGCATCGGGCGCTCAATATACGAAAAATATGGCACAAAGCACCCACGCTTTTATCACAATGATACTAATATTTTTGTTCATTTTTGTTTTAAGCTTATTTTAAAAATTATTTTTTAACTTTTTAGTTTGATGTGAATTAAAAGCGTGTTTTTTTTAGTTTTTTTTACTTTTTAGTTTCATGTNAAACTATATTTATTTTTTACTTTTTAGTTTCATGTTATGATAGTAGTTACTATCAATATCATGGTTGTAACGGGTAACGGGAAAACAGGGTTCGATTCCAGAGAGGGAGTCTAAGGAACGGCTACCACATCCAAGGAAAGCAGCAGANACGGCTACCACATCCAAGGAAGCAGCAGGCGCACAACGTGGAAGTAATGACGAAAAATGACGATACGAGAATCATCCCCCGTAATCGGAATGAATACACTCTATATCTCTTAATGAGAATAAAGCGTGTTAATATATATTTTTAATAGTAATTAGAATATATATACAGGATGATTTTTTTATCATAACCCACTCAATTACTTACAGAATAATAATAATTAAAAAAATTTTTTTTATTATTATCTTTAGTTACACATTATTCTTGAATTATTAAATATGTAATACTTTTTAAGTTCATCCCTTATGCCTGGTAAGGGTGTCAACTTTGTTTTTTTAAATGGTAACACATATTTTTAATTTAATATAATGTTTGAGTTTTTAATTTAATGGTAAATGGCATTTGAATTTTTAATATAACTTTATTAGCTTATTAGATATAAACATTTAAAGTTTCAAATTTTTGAGTTAATATATAGGTATAATACACAAGGGATTACAAATACAGGTAGCTAATTGGTTTTTTATGACATCGATATTAGCAGGTACACAGCATTGTTATTATCAATGATAGTAAGGTACATTGTTGTGAGTTTATAAATACACTAACTGACAATACAGAAAGTATATCTATAGATAATCATAATTGATAATAAATNGAAAGTATATCTATTGATAATCATAATTGATAATAAATAATCCGTGACTGAGACAGCAATGTCATAAAAATCCAATTAACTACCTGTATTTACAATCCCATGTGTATTATACATGTATATTAACTCAAAATTTTGAAACTTTAAATGTTTATATCTAATAAGCTAATAAAGTTTTATTAAAAATTCAAATGCCATTTACCATTAAATTAAAAACTCAAACATTATATTAAATTAAAAATATGTGTTACCATTTAAAAAAACAAAGTTGACTCCCTTCCAAGGCATAAGGGATGAACTTAAAAAGTATTACATAGTTAAAAATTCAAGAATAATATGAAACTAAAGATAATAAAACAAAAAAAGGTTTAAATTATTATTATTATGCGAGTAATTGAGTGGGTTATGATAAAAAAATCACCCTGTATATACATGTAAAGCGACTTAAAGTAAGTACGTAAACGTATCATGCACGAGGTATTGCTGTGTTTTGTTGTCTGGCGTGGTGCGGGGAATCGCTGTACGCGAGACATATGCGGCGGCTGTAGGAATATATATAAATATATACACATACATACATACATATGTATAGTAAGGCGACATAAGTACGTAAACGTATCATGTACTATGTATAACATTGTTTTGTGGTTGGAGGGAACGTTTTACCTAAGGTATAAACGGCGGCAGCGGCGGTAGGAATATATAAATATATATACTTTATATATGTACACGCGGGCGGTATTGGTCAGTCAAAATAAAAATTTGTCTTTATATATATAATTGATGACTGGCACGCGTGTACAAAAACCAAAAATATAAAAAAAAAATTAAAAACTAATATAAGCGTGTTAAAATCAAGTCAGAAAATGGTCTTCTTACCTTGATCCAATGTAAGACCGGTTAAAATCCTTACTGGGGAAACAGTTGACACTACTTACGTCATAAAAATGTGGTCGTCATTGGTTTTGAGGATAGAGACCCGTGGGCTGTTTAATAATGAGCAACAACAGGTTATTTCAACGAAAAATAAAACAAACCGAATAGATGAACATAATAATAAAATAATCTTCGCATAATATCGCGGCACTTTCGCTGGCATCGACGACGCGTTGTCCGGCGTGTTCCTCGGGCGTCAACAGGTTAGCAGCGTTGATAGCGACGCACATAGGTCAATTTTCACGATCTACGCGGTCAAAAATATTTTTTCAATTTTATCATTTCTATTCGGTATTATATGTCTAATTAAAGACATTTTTTTGTTCAGACATCATTTTTTTGGTGAAATATAAGTAAAAAAAAATTGGAATAAAGAAAAATTGTCCTCGGATGTCATAAATAAAAACAGTGATATCCATAACAAAAATTTAGGATTTATTTTAGTTTACGTTACGTAATACAATTTGCATGCAAAATAAAACAAAAAATATAATAATAATATATGTACAGTAATTCTTTATTTATTCAAGTATGGAGTCATCTTGGTCGTCATCTCTATCAAGTTCGCAGTAAGGATCTGCAGACAATAGCATTTCAATTGTTTCGGGACAAAAACTTTTTGATATAGATGTCTTCTTGGGTCTTAGACTGCTTATTAGTGGATTTGAACTCAATATTAATCTGTTATAAACGTCCCGATTACAGTGTTCTCTAGAAAACTTCCTAGCGAAATTCTGGCGATATATGCGGAAATGCTTATTACGTGCCTCTGCAGCCTCTTCCGACAATTGACCTATTGGTAGCAGAGCCTTTTCAATTATAGTTGCTCCATGTATTAAAATTTTATGCATAGTTGGAGTCATAGGGTGCCATCCATATAAGTCTATATACAATTTTGCGGTTTCTTCGGCGTATTCACCGTATTTTTGAGTGTCGATTCTATGGCCACTCGAAATAGTTTCTAATATAACTTTTAATCTGTAAATTAATTCGAAGTTTATACTGGTTATGTCTGCAGCCAATTGGGGATTTTCAAAAAATCTTCTACTGGTGTTACCATCATTGGTATTTCCAAAATTTGTTTTAGGCATGTCCACCAGTAATCCAGTTTCAATCCGAAACCTCTCTTGGATGTGCTTTTTCGTTTCTGCTTACAGTTCTTTCTCTTTGTCAGTCCTCCTCTCTCTATATTTTTTAACTGGTAATTTATATGCCAAATGTAAAACACTTTCAAACAGTCTAATTCTGGCGTGCAATACAGAGAGCCCAAAATTAAATCCAGTTGAACTTGATGTCTCCTTCTTGTCAATTTTGTTAAAGTCTTTCGATGTTGCACCACAGATATAGCACCTACTTGCAGACTTGGTTCCGGTTGCAGCATTATATATTTTCCCGTCTACCATAGTCATGTTAAAAGAATGTTTAAAAGTGAATTTGATTTCGTTCATATTTATTTCTGTTGCTTTTAGTCCTTTCACGGAGTCTTCGACATAATTTATTTCTTCCATTGTGACATCAGTTGATTCTTTTAAAAATCTGAATCTTATTGGACGGCAAAATCGTGGGAACGGGGGCGTAGGGTTTTGCCATTTTACTTTATTGTTGTTTCCACACACTACTTGAAGTGGCACAAATGAGCTCAAAAATAAATTAGCATCTGATTCCATATCATCATCGAATTTTTGCTTGTATTTAGCTTGCCGAGAGCCATCGCAACCCCATTTACAAATTATATTCAAGGAATTTCTCTCTTCTTCGTTAAGCGTTAATAGCACTTCTTCCAAGAAAATTGATAACCGCTTAATGGTATTGTCAATAAGGCTCTGTAAGCTGCTTTCCGCACAGGTGCTCGTAACTCTCAAACATTCCTTTGGTGGAAAGCATTCTTGTTTTGCTTTTAACAAAAGGTAATAAGGAGGATAAAATGCCTTATTTGTATTTCGGATAATTTCGTATTGACGTCTTGTAAGATCAGCCTCAACGAACATTGTCAGAGCTTGTAATGGTGTCAAAGGCGTAACACAATCTTTATTTTCTTTTTCGTCGACTGCTTTTTTATATTCGTGAGCTCGATCAGGATGATTCGTTATTTCTTTAAGAATATGTGACACATCTCTTTTTCCTTGTGCTCTTAAGGTTGTTTGTGTAGCGTGGACAATTATGTCATCTTCGACATTTAACCTAATTTCTTCAGTTTTTCGACGCTTGGTTCGTTCACTAGCGGTATCAAAAGTTTTTGTAGGGCGTCCCGGTCGATTCAACAATTTTAACGGAAGTTCGAAAGCTCCCTCAAGTCAAGACTCATTACATTTCAAAAAATTGTCATCCATTCTGTGAGATTTCGCCCACCTTTCCTTTAAATTTGCTTTAAATATAGAAAATCTGTGTTTAATTGTTTTTAAATCATCATCAGTGGTGCCATAGTTCGATAGTAAATGATTTTCCAGATAATCGAGTTTTGCGTCAAAATTTGGTAAATTTTGGTCTCTCATTATTTCATAGAGGTATCTCCGGGAAACAGTTTTCACACCTGATGTGCTGGCAGTTCCTAACATAACGAAAGACAATGATTAGTCAAATAATAATAGAAATGAAAATTTTTTGGAAAAAGACTATGTCGCTAAGAATGACCCTATTTTTGCTATCTGCAAATTTCGGCAACTAATTTTTGTAACATTCAGTGAAGAAAGGACGGAGCTTTAAAATAAAATGAAAATGAACACGGAGTTTAACGGAGAGCTACAACTTTTTCAATTTTAAAGTTTAAAATTACTTCAATATTTAACACAGAAAACACTCTTTGTTATACACCATGTAATTATATGAATTTTGCATTAAGGCTAACTAAAATATATTAAAAATAAAGAATAATACCTTGGTTATCGAAATCCACCACATTCACCTCAAACACTGACACTGGAAAAGAAATATTTATGTTCAAACTTGTGGTTGCTTGTAACACTGTAATCCCGAAGAATAGCGCACTGGTTGATGGTCAAGTTCCAACTACCTCTGCACGTTCGAGGTTGACGTGGGGTAGTTATAATGGGTAATTTGGGATTCCCTGAAACGTTTACTAATCACCGATAATTGGTTTTTAACGATTTCCGGATCTTTGGAAAATCCAATTTTGACCGCGTAGATCGTGAAAATTGACCTATGTGCGACGGTGCGCGAGTGCGGATCCAATCATAGACGTTGTCACTTTGACAACGGGAAGAAGACTACGGTATCATTTGCGGCGGGATGTCGTCGGCCGTGCGGCGCTTGCTGGACTTTGCACCGCGGCGTATAACGCGAGATGTTGGTCAGTCAAATACTCATAATAGGACGACGGCTGATAAAGGTGGCACGAGTCGTGGGGCATCGTGTATAATGAAGCGACGTGGGGCTGTGTCAGTCACAATAAAAATTTGTTATATATATATATATATATATATATAATTCATGACACGCAAGTGTGTACGGGTACGAAAACCAAAAATAAAATTATACAGAAAAATAGTGTAGTCGCCGACTGGTGAGCGGGGTGGGGTGAATGCGTTACGATGGTCTAGTCACAAGGTCATAGACGACGGGATACGTGACATAATAACACGTGCCGCGTGGAGTTACAAACTTACAACATACAACATACAAGTGAAACTAATATAAGCGTGTTAAAAACACATGTTTTATCGAATTTGTATTTAAAACGAAAAGTTTCGTTTAAATCAAATAAGCAATCGCCTTTTAGTAATAACTGGTTCTTATCTTAATTTGCGCTAACGGTGTTAGCCGTACATCAATAATCGTGACTATTACTTGAATATCAGTAAACTGGACAGTTATTATTAAATATTTAATATTTCTGAGAGGATATATAGCGCTATCTTTACGTTTATAAATTAACAAAAAATCGGTTACCAATTGTCTGACTGCCGTGGCCTATCTATGTGTATTTAATCTATGACTAAAATCATTAAAAAAAAATCAAATTATGTCTTTACCGGGCGACAAAATTATAATTACTGCGTTTAGTATGATTAAATCAAAGTCATTGATGCAATAGCAACAACATTTTTGGAGAGGCTTATTATATTTAACTTTCCCTCTATTATTCTCAAAAATTGAAAATTGTTCTTTCGTTTCTCGTAAATAGTGGGAACCCCTCCCCCAAAAAATCGTTTTTCATTAAAACTCGACATTTTGTTCACTTTTTTTTCCAAAAATTGCCATAACTTATTGAAAATTAACAAATCAAAATAATATTTTTTTATTGAAACCTTAAGTGATATTTTTGAAAATATTCCGGAAATAATGAGACCTTTAAACATATAGCTAATAAAAGCTTATGATACGTACTATAAATTAAAAAAAAACTACTGATACAACTATCATTTGATAATTTTTTTTTCTTTATTTTCATAATTTCAAAATTATCATTTTTATCCATTTTCTTATAAAATATTTTTATGTGTCTATTGTAATTATAGGGCAATATTCATTGGATTACAAGCAATATAATGTATAAATTACAATTATTTCAATATTGATAACTTGAATAAAATAAAAACAAATTAATTTTTTTAATCATATTTCTATTAATTATTTGCTTTAACTGTAGTAAACGAAGGCAAAATTTATTAAAAAAAAATTCAACAAAATAATTATTGGAATTGTAATATCTTTGTGACTCACTCTATATGCAATAATAGTATGTAATTTAATCATTTTTTTTTTAAATAATAATACTTTACATAAAACTATTAAAGTTGCAAACGCAGATTTTCACAGTATAATCATTGAATAAGTGAAGTAAATATTTTATGTATAAAATTTATTTATTTCTAATTAAATATTAATCTTTGATTTCAACATTCGTGATTTTGTATTTATGACTTCACATTATGATTATTATTAGAACAACATTAAATATATGATATTTTCAAGTAAAAAATTAAGTTTTTATAATCAGCCAAAAATATATTTAAATATACTGCATTTGGAATATCTTACTATTCATTAATTTCACAAAGTATATGAATTACTCTTGTTAGTATTTAAAATGTGGTTCAAGTTTTCTAAAGAAAATGTGCTTTTAGTGCTCCTTTTTTTAAATTTATATATCTATTTTGGTAATTTTGCTTTATTAGAAACTGGCTATAAGAAAGATAAAGAAATAATCAAACAAAAATCAAACAGAAATTACAATAAAGATGACATTACATTATTAAAATGCACTTATTTATTTGCTGGTATGAATCATTTAAAATTAACTAAGATACTTTTTGAACACCAGCTCTGTAGTATCAAGGCTGCAACTACTATAATATCTTATGCTAACGACTTCATAAAAAAACAGATAGCTTCATTATATTACAACAAAGAAGAAGTTGGATTATTGTGGTTACTCAACTTGTATACGTGTATAGTTGGAAAATACATAGATTATTTTTTAAATGAAGATAAGAAAGAAGGAAACTCTAGACTTGTCGAAATGTTGCAATGTCAAGAGTTTGTTATCAAAAAATTAGATTCGGAGTCAAAAAATTGTCCACAAAACAGTCGATTTTACTTTGATATTATGGGCTTTAACTTAAGTCAAGGCGATAACTATGATTACATTTTATCATGTATTATGAGAAACATTCATGATATTGAAAATCTAATTGATAATAATAATAATACTAAAACATTAGAATTCGGAAATTTTAAAGTTTTTGGTAGATATTATTTATACTTCAAAAGATTAGGTCGTACTGACCAGGTTGTGTTTAAGTTTATTAATAGTTTCAACTTACGAATAAAATGGGTGGAAAATATTGATGAGAAGTTTAAAAAGGCTTATGATAATGCCAATATACTTGATTGGTCAAACAAAAAATTCCGTTCCTGTTTGTTGTACTATTCAATGGTTTTCGACTTATTCAAAGTAATTATGTTAAGATTGACTTGGAAACAGTTTTTATACATTGAACTACAAGGTGCATCATTGGTTGTAAATCTTACGGATCAATGGTTAATGACACTTCAGAATTTCGCCAAGTATCTAGCATTAGAAGAAGACTATGTAATTAAAAATATAATAGATAGTATTTTTCAGCACATTCATAATTATCCCTCGGAAAACGAATATCTAATATTAACTTATCAAAAGCTTTACACAAAACATTTGATAAATTATATTAGCAATAATATATCAAATCTTTGTGAAGGGTTAGATTGTACGATAGTTGAAAATTGGAACAAGGAAGAAATTTTACAGACATCCAATCAAATTAATTTTTACTTAGATCATAATGTACCTCTATCTGATGAAGTATTAGAAGGAATTAAACATCATGCTTGGAAAAAAAAACTATACTTGAAAGAAACAGTAAGTTTTGGAGACTACCTCCATTATTTATATAAGGACGTCGATTTTAATGTTATTAGATCATTTATTGATTATGTAGAAACATTAAATAGTTATAGTCTATTTGATGGAGAATAGTTAATTGATTTTGACACAATATAAAGTATGACATTAGTTTAAATAGAGAACTTTGATATTACAATTTTTCAAATTATTATAGATGTGCACCTCTTAATTAACTAACACTGAATATACCTTTTATTTCAGTAAAATTATCTCTCTTACAATGTTAAATAATATTATAGATATTAAATAGTTTAGTTATTCTACTAAATGTATGTGTATGATATTTGTATTAAATTTTCTACAAATAATTTTATATTTTACAAACTTTTATTTTAATTTTCAATTATCAGACATTTATGTGAAAATTGTTTCAAGTTTGACAGAAACAATATAACTATCATTGCATTTTATTGTAATATAATATAAATATAGACACTATTCATTAAATATAATCACGGAACATATTTAATTTGGGTTTTTTTATATTTACACAATTGGATACATAAAACAAATGTTTAGTCATTTTGGAAAACACATGAACATGTATTTTAAATTTTTGAGAGTTATTCTAACTTGGAGTGTTTTATGTTAAATTACGTTAAATTGATTAAAAAAACTAGCAATCATTACATTGTACCAATTTTAATATGTGAGATTTAAGCGACTATAAATTTTTAAAAAACGTATGGATTTGTCATACTTTAGACATCATACTTATATAAATAGAAAATAACAATAGTAAAAATATTATTTCGAAAAATCTATGTTTAATAGTCAACAACTGTACACATACTCATAAAAATAGACATAATTTTCAATGAACTTAACAGAAAATTTTTTTTAAATACTAATTTGGCATATTATCATTTATAATTTATAAAATCATTAGAAAATAAATTTAAAAATTTAGCACAGTGGGGTCGTGGCACTTATGGATGTGTCATAGTTAGGACAAGTATAGTTAATGTTTGGCAGCGATTGAAATCTTTATCATAAGAAACACTTCGATTTAAATGTGTAAATAGTGCGTAATGTTAAGAAACTGGTAGATTTTTCCAAAAGCAAAATTAAATCATTTATCATTTATTATTCCTTATTAGTAGTTTCAGTTTCGATGCGAAACTTAGAAGATATTAATTTTACTCTGATGTGTTTTTATTTTATTATTATTTTATTTGTGTGTGTTACCACTCAACCTCAGCTCTCATTGGACCGATTTTGATGAACAATACGTCAATAGATCACAAATTGTACTTAGTCGATGAAATTTTCTTCAAAAATTAATAGAAATTCCCTCGTTTTCCATAAATGGGGAAAATCCCCCAAAAAATTACAATTTTAAAAATCGGTAATTTAAAATTAAAAGCTGAGAAGGTATTGGTTTTACTAAGATGTGTTTATTTTTTTTAGCTTCGATGCGAAGCGGAGAAGGTATTAATTTTACTATGATGTGTTTTTTTTTTTTTTTTATGTCTGTTGCCACTTTTTCTCAGCTCTCACTGGACCGATTTCTTTCAAAAATACGTCAAAAGATCACAAATCGTATCTAGTTGAAGACATTACCCTTCAAAATTGAAAAAAATTCCCTCGTTCCCCGCAAATGGGGGAAATATCCAAAAAAATTACAAATTTAAAAATCGCTAATTTTCGAAATTTTTTCACTTTTTTTTCTTAAAACTTCCATAACTTTTTGAAAAATCAACAAATCAACATAATTTTTTTTTACACTAAAACCTTAGATATTTACCTTTCATTTTTTTGAAAATTTATCACTTATTCTGCTCACTGGGAGGATTTAAAATAGTAACTTTTTTACAAAAATTAATTTTTTCAACTTAATTTTTGAAAATGTTCCGGAAATACTGCGTCCTTTAAACATATATAAAATTAAAGCTTATTTTATGTACTACAAAATGAAAAAAAAAAATTTGTCCCGACACTTTTTTTTCTACATTTAAACGGCTGCCGTAGTTAAAAAAACACTATTTTTGTGTTAAAATTTTCGATTTTCGATTTTAAATTTTCAACTTAAAACTGCCATAACTTTTTCAAAAATGAACAAATAAAAATAATATTTTTTTGTATTGAAACCTTAGATATTTCCCTTTCATTTGATATAATTTTTTTTGAAAATCTAACACTTATTCTGCTCACTGGGAGGATTTAAAATAGTAACTTTTTTACAAAAAATAACTTTTTCAACTTAATTTTTGAAAATGTTCCGGAAATACTGCGTCCTTTAAACATACATAAAATTAAAGTTTATTTTATGTACTACAAAATGAAAAAAAAAAATTTGTCCCGACGATCTATCGTCTATACGCAAATGGCTACCATATTGAAAAATATACTATTTTTGTATGATAATTATGGGTTATGTATTTTATTTTAATAGAAGTTGATGTTGCTTTTGCAATTATCCATCAATTTTTTAAAATTAAACACTATCTACAGATTTGCATCGAAGCGTTTCTTATGATAGTGATTTTAATCACTGTCAGATTAAATCTATA